CCCCAAAACCCCAAAACCCCCAAAACCCCAAAACCCCTTGAATCACAATAAGTAGAGAATCTTGAATAACTTAAATAAATAATTAACTTTAAAGAGAGCATATGAGAGTGAAATATATGCGATATTTTAAAGTTTGCTTAATAACTTTAAAGCCAAATTTACTTTTATAAAATGGAAAATTTAGTTGAGGTCATGCTTCCTGAAGATAATTTTCTATTCTAGGACAGACCTCTTTCAGCTCGTGAGAAAAGAACACTAAGACAGTTCTCTGAGTCATATTGTATGACCCTTGTACTATAATTTATACCTCAATCATTCGTTGTACATCTTTAAATACTCTCGAGATTCTATTATAAAGTGTAAATTCCTAGATCTCTTTCATCAGTTGAAGTAAAATTACGTAAAGTGAGATTACATCTCTTCAACCATGAAAGTATCATAATTTTCAACATGCAGAACTGGACAAAGCAAAAGAGAAAGATAAAGAACTAAGAGTTTCCACATCTATGGAATTGCCAGAGTATTGAAGTTAAAGGAGCAATCTTCCTGACCGGCGGTAGTATGGCTAACACTAAAACATATGTTAAGCATACTTATCAATTGTGCGAAAAAACTTGGCTATTTGAAAGGAAAATGGACATGTACAACCCCAGAGATGCACATGGGATGATAGGCTGGAAAAATCAATATATTATAGTGGTCGGCTCATGGCATGTTGAGTAAAGTACAAAAACTGTTGAAATATATAACATCTAATTCGACACATGGAGTGAGCTTCCTTAACTTAATTATGCTACATGCGCTCCTGGACTAATAATTATAGAAGATAGGTATATGTATAAGGTAGGAGGCACCACAAACATTCGGAAAATAGAACGATTCGATTTGCTTCAGCCAACTGAAGACTGGATAACTATCAACACTTCGAATTAAATTGGTAAAAAAGCTTCTATAAATAGGTGCCTGCTTCATCCCGTAAACAAGGAAGAGTTTTTAGTCTTTGGATGCCATTTTGGTAGATCAGAGTACCCTTTCTCTTATCACTTGGATAAAAATGAGTTCAATAAATTTCAAAAAAGTGAGGTCTAAATAGATATGTACCGATCAAATGATGTAGTCCAACTAGATCCCTACTCAATATTCATCAGACCCTTCGTAAAGGTAGGTGATTCGATGGAAAATGTCAAAGTACTTCAGTATTTCATCAGGGAACTAGAAGTTGTAGATGAGGATTAAAATGGACCTAGAGCAGAAAATAAAACAAACGCAAAATTCAAACGGTTCTTTAGAAATCTGTTCTAGAGAAAGCCTAAATTTTCGACCAAACCTTACCAGAATTTCCCTAAAGGACATATTGAAGAGGTAGAATTCGCCACCACAGATTGGGAGAATTGATGAGAATTTTAGTCGATTCTCATTATCGAATGAGCAATAGCAAGTATTATTAAGAATTCTAAAGTTTATTTTAATGATTGTAAGTAAGCTAGTCGAGGTTTTTAAAGGCGTAAACAATTTTATTGATATTCTCATTTACTTATAAATTATCTTATTAAAAGCCGATTGTCGAAATTTATCTTTCATTTGGGGTTTTGGGGTTTTGGGGTTTTGGGGTTTTGGGGTTTTGGGGTTT